ACTGGGTGTATGCCTCCCTTTTAGCTAGGAGACATTCCCGGGTGATGGGTCGTTACATCTCAGGTCCTGGAGAAAAGTATAAAGACCTTTAAAAGATGGCCTTTAGTTTCTAGACCAACCTTTTCAGACTCAAGGCACCCCTTGTTTAGCTTGAGACCTCCCTGGGAAAATGCCGGCTCCTACTTGTCCTACATTTTTGACTACGGAAACACAGCAGAGCAAGTCTTCTGTTGCAAAACACTCAGCCATCCCACAGCAGGGCAGACATGTGTGATGCTCTGGATTCCTATGGGAGATCCCTGGGTTTATCTGGTGCACCACGTCTGCACACCTAGCAGTACCAGCATTGCATGGCAGGCTTGAAAGGATCTCAGGGCACCCCAAATAGCCTCATCTCCCCAGTTGAGAATCGCTGCTCTAGACCCTAGCAAAGCCAATGACTTAAGTACATAAGGAAGGCAGGCTGGGCTGGGTATGCTGCCCATGCCCATTTGTCCCCTCCTTGGAGCTCTCAGTGTGTCCACACTGCTTATTGCATGCTATTTATACTGCATCTAATTAACCCCGTGTGGCAGGGTTCCTCCAGGGGGTCTTCCCAAGCCCTCAAAGCATCACTCAGACCCTTTTTTCCACTTGTTTTTAAAATCCTCTGTTGCTCCAGCCTGTTCTCTCAGCTCTTCCCATCCCACCTGTGCCCGTGTCCCTTCCCCATGACTGCAAGCCTGCCCGACTCCTTGCAGCTGCCCAGCTTCTTGCATGGTTCTCTCATCGGCTCCCCTGCTGATCCTGTCTCATCCCTCTCCCTTTGGATGATCCGCTGTCGATGCTGCCAGATGTTCTGCGCAATAAGCTCTGCAGAATACAGCTGCATTTACTGAGCACGCTCTGTGGCCCCAGTGCAGGCAGAGAAGGTGACGATTCAAACACAGCAGACAGTTTGGAGCCCAACTACCTGCAACGGGCGCAGGGCAGAAACCACCGCTGGTTAATACCCACTCCCAGCTCTGCTTGTACCATCAGCTCCTGCTGTCTCGACTTACCAGAAGTTCCTCTTCTTGCAGCTTCCTTGCGATCTCAGCATCATACAGCTCCTGTTCTCTGGGATCCAGCCGGGGCTTGTCGTAGGTTGCCTGTTTCGTCCCTCTCGGCTTCATTCCTACATGAGAGAAGAGGAGGGGAAAAAAAAAAAATCAGCCTCCTCTTTGGCCATGTGCTTTGGGAAGGAAACCCCCATCCTCTTCCGAGTGTGCAGACCCTCCACCCACTGCAGAAGATGCTCTGCCCCAAGTGGGCTAGAGATCTGCTTCAGGAAAGGCAGATATTGTGAACACTGTATAAAGCCATGAGGACCCTGTGAGATGTCTGGCACTTTCTGATTCAGCAGGATCAGCTTTCACACAGGGAGCAGTAAGGCAAGCCAAAATCCTGCAGTTCCCTTGAGGCTCTGCTCTGGATTTCAGGAGGGGATGGGGTGGGGTCTGTGCATTTAATTCAACCGTCCCTTATCGGTGCATTTCTAGACCCAGTTGAGATTTCATCTGTGCTGGGGGGATGAGGAGCCCTGTGGACTCTCTGTGGACACGTTAGAGGAGATAAGCGGGTTGCACGGAAGCAATTCCTTTACTCGGTGATCCTGATCTTCTGAGCCGTGGAGATAATCTGCCACTGAGATCATTTCCCTCTGCCCTCAATCCAGCGGTGAGGCTGTGTTCCAAAAATGAAATATCCTCCCACCTAAATGGCTTATGCCCTTTGGAAGAGGGTGCTAAATGAGCCACATTGCAGCCTTCCTTAATCACGTAGGGCTGAGCAGCAAGGGGAGGTAGGGACTGAACAAGTACCAAACACCACGCAGAGATGCTCCAAACTACAGCAGGCCAGAGATGCACCTAAACGCAAACATACAACTGGGCCACTTGCTTCAAGCTGTTGCCTACAGTGGAGTGAATTCATGACCCGATAAATTCCAAGGTGGTTACCACTTTTGTAAAGGCTGATTTCAGGACAACCACAGAGACCTGCATAAGGAGGACTGCAAGGCGATGGCAGCCTGGAAGGAGGGACTGGAGAGTCCCCAGACTAGCTTGGCATAGGTGTTAATTAGTGCTAAGTGATCCTAAGAGGGACAAAGGGACTCTCATGGACCCAGAAAAACAGATATCCATCTTCAAATTCCTCTGTGCAAGCTGAAGTTTATTCTTCTACCTAGGGAGTTTTGTACCATTTTTAATTTTCCCTAAGCCTAAGGAAGGGCGTGTGAGCCCGAAAGCATGCAAAGAAAGATTTTTTTTGGT